TTAATAATAATAATGAAAATATTATTATTATTATTCAGATTTCTTTTTCCGTTTCTTCTTATTATTTTTCTTCGAGTTTGTTCTTTCTTCTTCTTCCTCCTCCTTTTTCTTCTTCAGGTTTCTGTTATTGTTTCATCTTATCCTTCTTCTTCTTCAGATTTCTTTTTCAATTTCTTCTTCTTCTTTTTCTTCTTCTTTTTCTTCTTCTTCTTCTTTTTCTTTTCTTCTTCTTCTTCTTCTTCTTCTTCTTCAGGTTTCTGTTTCTTCTTCTTCCCCCTCCTCTTCTTCTTCAGGTTTCTGTTTTTTCTTTCCTCCTCCTCCTTCTCTTCTTCTTCTTCTGGTTTCTTTTTTTTATTTCGTCTGCTTCTTCTTCTTCTTCATCATCATAATAATAATAATAATAATAATTCTTAATAATAATAATAAAATAATAATAATAATATTATTATTCACATTTCTTTTTCTGTTTCTTCTTATTATTTTTCATCGAGTTTTCTTTTCTTTCTTCTTCTTCCTCCTCCTCCTTTTCTTCTTCAGGTTTCTGTTTTTGTTTCTTCTTCTTCTTCTTCTTCTTCTTCTTCAGATTTCTTTTTCAATTTCTTCTTCTTCTTCTTCTTCTTCTTCAGGCTTTTTTATTTCTTCTTCTTCTTCTTCTTCCTCTTCTTCTTATTCAGGTTTCTGTTTCTTCTTCTTCTTCCTCCTCCACCTCCTCCTCCTCTTCTTCTTCAGGCTTTTTTTCTTCTTCTTCCTCTCCCTCTTCTTCTTCTTCTTCTTCTTCTTCAGGTTTCTGATTTTTCTTCTTCCGCCTCTTCCTCCTCCTCCTCTTCTTGTTTGGGTTTCTGTTTTTATTTTGCCTGCTTCTTTTTCTTCTTCTTCTTCTTCTTGATATGCAGTAATATGAATCTATTTTCGGAGTGTATAATGAAATATGTTTGGGCTTGAAAAATATTGAGTCATCCGTGATTGCATCAGATTTTCATCACGTCCAGACACTATTGTCTCTACAGTCGATTAGTTGTCCTACGGACAGTGTCGGTGATGGACGTTACTCCAAGGAAGTGTACGAAAACTGTAACGCTATACTAACACACTGACAAGCATTACCAGCAAGGAAATCAAAATACTATCGACTGGCTCGGAAACTCTCCTGATTATATCTAATCGAAAATCTGTGGTGAATCTGCAATGAAAGACTTCATGGAACGGACATAAGAAGTACCAACATGTGCACATACAAAGAAAAGTAAATAATAACGGAATAACATAGAAGAAAAATTTTAAATCACTGTTTTGAGAAACATTTATTAACAATAAATAAAATAACCCATATGCAAAAGTATTTAACACACTTTACTAATATTTAGTACAGTAGCCTCTGTTCCGCTTCACAGCCTCCAGTCGTTTCTCGTATTCTTCAACTAGTTTCTTGTAGGTACTTGTTGGTATTTTGACCCATTCTTCTTCACAAAATTTCTTCAATTTGTTTAAATTCGATGGATTTCGTTTATGAACTCGTAACTTCAATAGTTTCCACAAATTTTCGATTGGATTTAAATCCGGTGACTGACTTGGCCATTCCAGGACATTAATGTCATTATTATTAAACCAATTCTTAGTTGTTTTAGCAGTATGCTTCGGGTCATTGTCTTGCTGAAATACAAAATCACGACCATGTCCCAAAGATGTGGCACTGTTCAAGAGTTGAGTTGACAAAATTTGAGTGTATTTTGCAGCATTCATTGTTCCTTTGATGATTTTCATTTTTCCTACTCCATTTGAGGAAAAACAACCCCACATCATAAGCATTCCCCTCCCCATATTTGTCTGTAGGGATGGTATTTGCTGGCTCGTATTCCGCTCCTTCTTTCCTCCATACATGAGTGCGCATGTTTCTTCCGTAAAGCTCAATTTTTGTTTCGTCTGACCAAATTACTTTCTCCCAGACATCGTTAGATTCAATTTCATATTTCTTTACAAAACTCAAACGGGCTTGTACATGTCGGCGTTTCAGTAATGGCGTCTTTCTCGGTGATCTTGAAGTGAGACCTGCACGATTCACTGATCTTTTAATTGTATCCTTACTAACTTCAATTCCGGCATTTTTCAAATCATTCTGAATTTCTCGACGAGTTGAAAATAGATTCTTCTTCACAGTACGGGAAATGTATCGCTCATTAGCCTCATTTAAGATACGGGGACGACCATTCCTTTGAATGTTTTCAATAGTATCGAATTTTTTCCATTTTCGAACAACAGCACCAACTGTACTCACAAGCAAATTCAAATCTTGAGCGATTTTTCTATATCCCTTACCATCTTTTTGATTCTTTATGATCTTCTTGCGCATGTCGTTCGACAATTCTTTTGTTTTCACCATTTTCTTGCAGTAGTGGCAACAGAATAGCTGCAGTGTTTCAGATTTGTTATCTAATAGCCAGTTGTGTGTCGTGCAGTGCTGTCATTAATCGACATATCATATCAATATGGATAGGAATCATGACGCCACATCTCTTCTAGCATAATATTTGCATTGGTGTTAGATACTTTTGCATATGGTTTATTTTATTTATTGTTAATAAATGTTTCTCAAAACAGTGGTTTTAAATTTTCCTTCTGTTTTCATCGACAATGTTCGTTTAAATATTTCCTATAAGTTTTGTTGAAATTGATCTGTTATTTTTTGAGATATGTAAGAAAAACCAATGTGTTAAATACTTTTGCTACCCACTGTATATATATTGTCTTTAACAAATCTTGTTTGAATTAAATTAAAATGTCGATATTTTGATGTAAGTGCAAGGCAATGTTAGAAAAACACTAAATAATAAGATTGCTCCTTGAAAATACTACCATTTTCGAAGTTTTGCATATTAATTCAAATTGACTGATTAGTTTTTTTTCAAGACAGATAATAGATCTTGATACATTTAGAAAGGTGAGAGAGAGAGAGAGAGAGAGAGAGATTCAGAGAGAGAGAAAGAGAGCTAGAGACAGGGAGAAAGCCACAGAACGTGTGTAAGAGAGAGATAGAGAGAGAGAGAAAACTAGACTGAAAGAAAGGCAAGAGAGAAAGAAAGGTAAGAGAGGTGTGTGAGAGAGAGAGAGAGAATCAGAGAGATAACTAAAGACCGACAGAAAAAGCAAGAGTGAGTGATAGATAGATAGATAGATAGATAGATAGATAGATAGATATGAACAAGTTGAGATAGATAGATAGATAGATAGATAGATAGATAGTGTGTGTGTGCTAGAGATCCTTAGAAATATGTGTGAGAATGAGGATTGGCTATAAGACATTTTCGGCATTAAATAACCCATACACGTGTTGATATGCCGCCAAATAAATCAACAACCAACCTTAATATAAAGGGACGTATGAGATACCTTTTGTTATATTCGAAATGTCTCAAGTACTCTTATATAATTTTAGGGTTTCGTTAACTTTGTTGTACGGTATAACAACCTCAATGGGTTATTTCATGCCGACAAGATTTTTAGAATATATTCATTTTTAGCGGCATATCAATATCCTTATGGGTCATTTAATACCGAAATTTAATTTTCTTAGGAGCTTTACTAATTACTTTTACAAAAATGTATTGTATAGTAAAAGTATACTATAAAAATCTTTTCTTCTGAATAACGGCAGTTCCGCGACGTGGCATCAATACAGGGAAGGCAATAGAGTCAGAGGAAAGCATCGAGCTTTTGGGAATGGATGGGGGAACAGAGACTGGGGTGGGGGCAAACATTGCTTAGAGCTATAAAGGAAAGAAAGTTGTTTGGTTTGTTTAGTTTTATGGCATACCGACACCTCAATGGGTTGTTTAATGCCGACAAGATTTTTAGGACAGTTTCGTATGATTTCTAAGAAACCAGTTTATAGATCAGGTTTCATTGATGTATTTTTTTTCGAGAGTCAGATATATTGCTGGTAATATTTTTTTCCAAAAATGCATTGCTGGTATTTTCAGAATAAAAATCTATTTTTAAACATTCATAGTGTTTTTACCCCAGGTTAATTTTAACTATTTGCCCATAGTTACCACCCCAGGTAACGCTCCTCAAAACCTCCCGATTAGAGGCCTTGCTGCCGGATTTAGTTGATCGTCTTACCCAGGAGGTATAATTTTAGGTTTATTTAATGAGTTATATACATAATTTTTCATGATTAAACATCTTTTTGTAAGTATTAAGTGGCGGCAGTTGAGTTCTTGTCAAACTGTGTCTTAAATAACAGACAACTGGTGGCCAATCCATTCTAGATAACTTTCCAAAAGTCAAATCTCAAACCTTAAAATTGTTAAAAAGACACAAATAGTAAATATGCGAACAGCACAACACTTTCTACGTATATCTGGGAAATTAAAAACAAAACGCACATCACCCCAAAATATCTTGGAAAATAAGGAAAACAACAACCAATCTAAAACTTGCAAAGTTTGCTCGGAGGAAAAAAAATAGCTATCATTGCCTTCCCAGATCAAAATAAATGATTAAATAAACGATCCGAGACAACTGGCGGTCAATCCATTCTAGATAACTTTCTAAGGGTCAAATCTCAAACCTTAAAATTGTTAGAAAGACACAAATAGTAAATATGCGAACAGCACAACACTTTCTAAGTATATCTGGGAAATTAAAAACAAAACGCACATCACACTAAAATATCTTGGAAAATAAGGAAAAGATCATCAGCCTACAACAACCAATCCAAAACTTGCAAACTTTGCTTGGAGGAAAAAATAGATAACATTACCTTCCCTGACCAAAATAAATGATTAAATGAACGATCCGAGACAACTGGATAACTTTCCAAGGGTCAAATGTCAAACCTTAAAATTGTTAGAAAGGGTTTGGGGTATTGCAGTTAGATATTCTTTCATTTCTTTTCACTTTTAGAATTCTATATAGAGCTTTTGTTGCTTTGGACCCCCATTTGAAATTCATTCAAAATTGCCAGAACGGCATTATATATTTCTAGATTTAGAAAACCTGCAATGCAAAGGAACAAATATGGTTCTTGCAAAATCGTCTCTGTTTCATAAGTCGTTGCTATTTTTTTTTTTTTTATAAAATCTGGAGTTTTAAACTTATTCTACGCCCACGCATCCAAATCGTCGTACACGTCCATTTTCTTCTCTGTCGCTTGTTTAAAGGTCTTCAGTTCTTTCTTTCTCTCTCTATCTCTTGCTTTTCTCTCTATCTCTAGATCTCTCTCTCACTCTCTGACTCTCTCTCTCTGTTTGTCACCTTTCTCTCTCTCTCTCTCTCTCTCTCTATCTCACACTCACTCAAACTCTGTTGCTTTTCTTTCTGTCACTAGTACACACTCTCTCACACACACTTTCTGTAGTTCTTTCTCTGATTGTCTCTCTCTCCCTCACACCTTTCTAACGGTCTCTCTCTCTCTCTCTCTCTCTCTCTCTCTCTCTATCTATCTATCTATCTATCTCAGTTTATTCCTATCTATCTATCATCTATCTATCTATCTATCTATCTATCTATCTATCACTCACTCACTCTCTCGCTTTTCGGTTTTTCGGTCTCTAGATATCTCACTGATTCTCTCTCTCATACACGTTTCTAATGATCTATAACTCTCTCTCTCTCTCTATCTCTCTAGCTTTTCTTTCGGTCTCTAGCTCTCTCTCTCTATCTCTCTCTCTATCTCTCTCTCTCTATCTATCTATCTATCTATCTATCTATCGTAATCTTTTCACATCTATATATCGCAATCTTTTCACATCTATCTATCTATCTATCTATCTACCTCAGTCTGTTCGTATCTATCTATCTATCTATCTAATTCTGTTCATTTTTTTATCTATCTATCTATCTATCTATCTATCTATCTATCTATCTATCTATCTATCTCTTGCCTTTCTAAAAGAGTCCAGCTCAATTATCTGTCTTGAAATAACGTGCAAAAATGTGGAAAAGCCTTGAAAAACTAATGTTATTTTGAAGAAATACGGAGAACTTCGAAAATGGTAAATTTCACAAGTCTGATAATTTAGTGTTTTTCTAACATTGCCTTGCACTTTACATTAAAATAACGGCATTTGAATTTTTAATCGATATATATTCAAACAAGATTTTCTAAATATATATATATATATATATATATATATATATATATATATATATATATATATATATATATATAAGATAATCCCTAAGGAGCCAGGCAAACCAAGCTAAGTTTCATCTAAACGGATCTTCAGGGAAATGCTGACATTCCCCTGAACATCCGTTTAGCTGAAACTTACCTTGGCTTGCCTGGCTCCTTAGGATTATCTTAGGTTTCGCTTTGCTTAGTGTATTAAGCACTTTACATAGTTGTCTTTTACTCGCTTTGGGTTTTTTTTTTCTGGACTTGGAGCTTAAACACTGGATGAGTGTTTTTACCTTGGTTTAATGTTCTTGGTTCTTTCTTTTTTTATTACCCATTTTTCCTCGGGTACCGATTTGTTCTACCGCAATTTGAGTTATCCGAGGTTTTTCCAAACGAGTACCACCATTTATACATATATATATATATATATATATATATATATATGTATTATAAATTAATTGATTTAAAATGTTTTTTTCGCTACAGTTCTTTTTATTTATATACATATATATATATATGTAGGTATATATATTTATAGATAGATATTAACAGGCACAGATAGATAGATAGATAGATAGATAGATAGATAGATACAAATTGTGCAAATTAATTGATATTATTATCTACTTTTTTCCAATGAAACATGACCCAGCGCAAATGTTAGTACTTCGTGTGTCTATTCCACAAAGTCGTTCCTATATATATATATATATATATATATATATATATAAACCCAAAAATTGTAACAAAAAATTTGTATTTACATTTGTATATACATTTGTATATACATTTGAAAATGACGGAAAATCTTTTAAGTGGACTGAAAAAGGTAAACACTGTGGAGGGAGCATATATATATATATATATATATATATATATATATATGTGTGTGTGTGTGTGTGTGTGTAGTTATATATATCTGTGTATGTGTATGTATATACATAATCAGTTTAAACGTTATTTTTACCGGACAACTATATTTGAGTAGACGCTCCGTTTATTAGAAAAATAGGCGCGTCCCGGCAGGATTTGAACCTGCGGCCCCGAGACAGAGTGAACCGTCGTTAGATCCGACATCCTTTAATTATTTGTCCTTCCTTAAGATATTCCGGCCGGTAGGCGAAAATACATAAATATACCTATTCAAGTATGGGTATATATATATATATATATTGATACATGTTTCATTAAATAATATAGACAAGTGTTGTCTATTTATTTTATATAAATTCTTTTCATAATGTCTGATAAGCTTAATAACATTATCATTAAACGAAAAAAGAAAATCACAATATTGATCCATATTTTTTAATCCAAACTAACCTTTCGGCTTACATAAGCCATTATCAAAGATGTCAATTACTGTACAATATATTAAGCAAGATACGGACAAGACAGTGATGATAATCTGTTTCTGTTTACATGGAGGATTTCCAAGCAACCATAAACACGTGCATATAAGACGCTGGAAGCGAAAATCGCACCGCAGCTCATGACGTCACACATGACCATGCGAGAGTAAAAACAAGAAGTTTTAAGTATGGGAAACCGTTGGTATAAATTATAAGAGATTTCGTACTTTATTTTGTTCAGGTTAGATTTCAACTGTTTTATGTATATAGCTTCAAGAATTTTTAGTTTTTGATTATTGTTTTCATGTTTAAGTATAGTTGTATTTTCAACAAGGATTTTCTGGAATTCTGTATGCGGCCAGGCATATTGTTTTTATTGATCCGATATATATATATATATATATATATATATATATATATATATTCATCATTGAACGTATTGTGAAGTTTTTGATGTGCTTTAAAAATATGATGTTGAAATACAAAAATTAAAATGGCGAATTCTTTTTTGATGAAAGAAGAGGAAATCCTTCTCGTACGATTTGCACTTGGATGAATGACATAAATCCCTTGCCTACTCTCCATTAAAAGCGGCCGGCTTAGAAGAATTAAGAAAATGCTTCTTTTTAATACTAGATGAAATGGATTTCATATAAGAATTAAAGGAAGATAAGTGGTGAGTTGAAAGAAAGAGAAAAAGACAGACTAAAAGATGGAAAAAGAAGGCAAAATCTAAGGAATAAATAGAAAAAAGAAAGCGAAAAATGAAAATAAAGTAAATTTAAGACAGATTAAAAGAAAAGGAAAATGGAAGAAAAAATGGCGGAAAATAAATAGAGATGTTAGAAAATGTTTTACTGAAAGGAAAGACAAAAAAGAAAGAAAGAAAGAAAGAAAGAAAGAAAAAGCACAAAAAACATAAATGAAAAAAAAGAAATAAACAAAAATAAAAAAGAAAGAAAGAAAAAAGAAAGAAAAAAGTTTTCAAAAGGAATACAAAAACATAAATGAAATAAAAGAAATAAAAAAAAAAGGAAAAAAAAACCGGAAGAAAGAAAGAAATTGGGAGAGTTTTCAAAAGGAATGAAATAAAGAAAGAAAGAAGGCAAAAAAGAAGGAAAGAAGGGAGATTTTTAAGAAAGAAAGATAGAAAGAATGAAAGAAAGAAATTGTGAGAGTTTTCAAAAGGAATGAAATAAAAGAAAAAAAACAAAAAAAAAAAAAAAAGAAAGAAAAAAAAAGGAAAGGTTTTCAAGAAAGAAAGAAAGGAAGGAAGGAAGGAAGGATCGGGATTTTTCAGAAAGAAAGAAAGAAAGAAAGAAAGAAAGAAAGAAAGGATCGGGATTTTTCAGAAAGAAAGAAAGAGATTGGGAGAGTTTTCTGAAAGAAAGAAAGAAGGCAAAAAAGAAGGAAAGAAGGGAGAGTTTTCTGAAAGAAAGAAAGAAAGAAAGAAAGAAAGAAAGAAAGAAAGAAAGAAAGAAAAAGGATCGGGATTTTTCAGGAAGAAAGAAAGAAAGAGATTGGGAGAGTTTTCTGAAAGAAAGAAAGAAAGAAAGAAAGAAAGAAAGAAAGAAAGAAAGAAAGAAAGAAAGAAAAGAAAGAAAGAAAGAAAGAAAGAAAGAAAAAGAAGGAAAGAAGGGAGAGTGAAAGGAAAAAAGAAAGAAAAAGAAAGAAAGAAAAAAAAGGATCAGGATTTTCAAAAAGAAAGAAAGAAAGAAAGAGATTGGGAGAGTTTTCTGAAAGAAAGAAAGAAAGAAAGAAAGGCAAAAAAGAAGGAAAGAAGGGAGAGTTTTAAGAAAGAAAGAAGGAAAGAAAAGAAAGAAAGAGGAAAAGAAAGAAAGGCAAAAAAGAAGGAAAAGAAGGGATTTTAAAAAAAGAAAGAAAGAAAGAAAGAAAGAAAGAAAGATTGGGAATAAAAGTTTTCTGAAAGAAAGAAAAAGAAAGAAAAAGAAAAGAAAAAAAGAAAGAAAGAAAGAAAGGAGTTTTAGAAAAAATGAACAAAAAGAAAGAAAAGGAGAGTTTTAAGAAAGAAAAGAAAGAAAGAAAAAGAAAGAAGGAAGAAAGAAAGAAAGAAAAAAGAAAGAAAGGAGGATTTTTCAGAAAGAAAGAAAGAAAGAAAAGAGATTGGGAGAGTTTTGAAAGAAAGAAAGAAAAAGAAAGGAAAGAAAAAAGCAAAAAAGAATTGGGAAAGTTTTCTGAAAAAGAAAGAAAGAAAGAAAAAGAAAGAAAAAGAAAGAAAAAGAAAAGAAAGAAAGAAAAAAGAAAGGAAAGAAGGAGAGTTTTAAGAAAGAAAGAAAGAAAGAAAGAAAGGAAAAAAAGAAGGAAAGAAGGGAGTGTTTTAAGAAAGAAAGAAAGAAAGAAAGAAAGAAAGCAAAAAAGAAAAGAAAGAAAGAAAGAAAGAAAGAAAGGAAAGAGGATTTTTTCAGAAAGAAAGGAAGAAAGAGATTGGGAGAGTTTTTCTGAAAGAAAGAAAGAAAGAAAAGAAAGAAAGAAAGAAAGAAAGAAAGAAAGAAAGGCAAAAAGAAAGGAAAGAAAGAAGGGGAGTTTTAAGAAAGAAAGAAAGAAAGAAAGAAAGAAAGAAAGAAAGAAAGAAAGGCAAAAAAGAAGGAAAGAAGGGAGAGTTTTAAGAAAGAAAGAAAGAAAGAAAGGCAAAAAAGAAGGAAAGAAGGGAGAGTTTTAAGAAAGAAAGAAAGAAAGAAAGAAAGAAAGAAAGAAGGAAAGAAAGAAAGAAAGAAAGAAAGAAAGAAAGGGGTGTTTTCAGAAATAAAGAAACAAAAGAGTAAACCTGGTGAAAAATTAAGTAGATTACAATTCATTTAAATCAAATGAAATGATAGATGAACAAGACTCACGAAGAAAAATCGTATAAAGATTACAGAATGTAAGAAAGGAAAAAAAAGATTGAATGAAGGAAATAAATATATATTTATTAGAAAAAGAAACAAAGTCCAAACACTGAAAAATCCAAAACTGGACATGTCAATGAAATAGAGAAGGACGGAGAAAAAAAAATGAATAATCAATTTAAAATAATTGTTATTTTTATCCAATGAAAATCCCTTTGGGGGTCTTTGGCGCGTTGCACACTGGGAGCTTTTTTTGTGCAAACGTTTGACGCAGCTATTTTTAATGAATGAAGGCATTTTTTCCGGAAGCCATTTTGTTTCGCCTTTTCTTTAATTCAAATTGTTTTATCGTTTTGTATTCGTTTTATAATTTTACTTGTTTTTATTTCCGTAAAACAACGTTTCAGCTCATTCAGTCAGTTGAATCTCCTCGCTAAGCTAAAGTTCGGTTTTCGTTTGTGCATTATTCTTCTTCTATGTGCTGTTTTCCTTCATTGCAACCTACATCCTCTTACCCATTGTAACTGCTTGTAAAGTTTGTCTGTTTGCTATATCTCATGGAGAGCAACACACTGCACCTTCTTGGCCTCAAGTTTCTAACTGACTTGAAGTGGAAACCCTACTTTGAAAAAG